CTCTTACGCTACTTTAATGTAGGCTCTAATTTGATTGTTTAGAGCCTAAGCTCCGTACAAACCACGCCCATTTAAATATGGTATTGCACCAATGAGACCATATATCTTTTAATATAAAGTGAACACAATTCCTTGCAAGTATTTGATTTGAAATTTGATTACTTGGATGTGTCGTGATAAAATTTATTTTGAAGTTTGGGCTTGATAATGGAATAATTGTAGCCTTCCAATTTCACATCCATCGGTCAATATTAATGCGATCACCTTTTATAAAAAATAAATAGCCTCGTTATATATTTTCTTTTTAAATATATATATTTTAATTTTCGAGTAGGGGCTGGGTCCGGGTCCCTGCCGCGGCCTGATAATAGGTCCGGGTCCCTACCCGGTCCATAATGGGTCCGGATCCCTGTCTAATAATGGTTCTCCAGGTCCGACTGGTTGCAAACCCCAGTAAGCTAGGCCCGGCCCGCCCTGCCCTCTCTCTCTCCTATTGCCCCACATTGGAGTCTTTCTCTCTCACTGACCTTTCTCTCCCTTCACCGTTGCTCAACTACTTTCTCCCTCCAGAGAGCAACCCGCCTCCTCCCTTCTGGACAAAGCAGAAAGACTGCTTATTAACGAGCCTTCTTCCTTTCTTTCATCTCTGTTCACTTAGATTCGCTTTGGTTCTTAACGAGAAAATACCACAACGCCTGTAAAATACCGGTAAGTTACAAGGTCAGTTGGGTTTTCTTGTCCCTTTATTTTATTTTTGAGATTCATCTGGTATATTTGGTTTCAGCTTCTTCTTATTCTATTTGTCATTTATTTTGTTGTTTTTATCCATTTTTTTTTATTTCTAAAACCTGCTGTGATTTGTCAGGTATTGGGATGTTATGGGGTAAAATGATCTTATTGGGATTTTGGTCATTATTAAGCTCCTTAGAAGGTTTTTTTTGTTTTTAAATAAATGACTGGTTCGATCACAAAATGAAGAATGCCATAAGCACTATTCATTTAATCAAACTTGCAGCGCTAGGGAAGGGCGGGCGGCAGCTTTCAGTGAAAGTTGGGGGCATAAAACCCGTGCTTCATTTCTACCTACAACCACAGCAGCCCCTCTCGAAGAAGAGAAAACCCGTGAAGCCTGTGAAAACCCTCGGTTGAAGAAGAGAAAGACACCCACAGCAGCATTTGCTCCATCGCCATTATCATAGAGCTCGAAGAGATTGAATCCACCAATCCGTGAGTTTTTTTTTTTTTTTTACTTCTTCAGGCCTCCAAGAGAGAAATAGATACATGTACGAGAGAGAGATGTCTTATAGAGAGTGAGAGATATCTGAGAGAGGGAAAGAGGTGATTTTCTCATTAAAAGATTGAAGAACAACTGTGGTGGACAGCAAGAGAGAGAAAGGGCTCCAAAACCCATTTCTGTACTGACAATCTATTTCCTCTGCTTGCTGCTTATTCAATGATTCATACTGAGAATGGTTTGTCCGCCCTCAAAAAGTTGCTAAAATTTGATCTCAGACTAATCGGAATACCCCCAATGGCTCCCTTACTCTTCTGGATATTTTACCAGATGGGATTCTTTCATTGTCTCACCATATGAAACCCATATTTCTACTTGATTTTTGGAGCTTTGGGTTTCTTTTTCAGTCTATTCTATTTCTCATGGTCTCACAATAAAAGCCAATGTTTTTTTTTGATGTTGGGAGCTTTGAATTTCCTTTTGGGTCATTGAATAGATGATAATTACTGGGTTGTTATTAAATTGAGCTGAAAATTCAGGAAATAATTATTATTTAGATTGGGTTTTTTTTTTCTTTTATACTGTTTTATTTGGTGTCCATCCTTGCTTTTTGTGTTTGGTTTCAAATTCAATTTTGTTGGAACTTATTGAACAGAATGAGAATGAAACCTAATTATAGTTATTACGAGTTCATAAATTAGACCCTCCATTCAATCAATAAAACTTTAATCATCAAAGAAATAATTTAAATTTCTTTGATAGCGTCAGCGAGCTATACCCTATTAGTAACAGTGAAATTTCAGTGGTTCTGTAATGAAAATTTCCATTATTGGAAAGAAAATTGTGCATGAGATTTGGAAGGTGTAATTGAAATCTACCAATCGAATGGTTCTCTTTGACATTGTTTTCTTTAAAAATAAAATTGGATTTGTTGTTACAAATAGATGGTTTGGATATTGTATGCCCTGCTTTCCTTCTATCATTACTCGTGTCTTCTCATTATGCTCTCTTTGAATTTTGTTTGTTTAGCGTTGATGGTACCTTTTATTTGTGCTTTTCTTTGCGTTAGCTGAGTGACCAAGATATTTGATCTCGAAAACTTGTCTGGGAATTTATTAGAGGGATTAAAAGAAAATTTCAAATTTTTTGGTGTGCTTGGAATTTCAATTGTTGTTGGGTGTCTTCCACTCTTAAGTTACACAGATATAAGAACAAATTTCAATCTTGACTGTACATATTATAAGAAATGCATTAGGTGGGTTCTTGCAAAAAAATTTCATTCAAGATATGCATTTTGCACATCAAATCAATTAAATACAAAATGAACGGTTTATCAAACAGTTTATCAAACAGCTTTCCCATTGCCAAACATGTGAAATTACCAGCACCACAGTTTATCAAACAGGGTTTCCAATTTTCATGCAAAGTCAGCAGCTGGGGTGATTCCCAAGGAGACTGCAGTGAAAGTTATCAAATGCAACCTCAGGGTTTTCCTATGATCTGAAAAAGTTCAAGTGGTGAGAGAGTAGAGGAAGAAGAGGAAATTGAATTTTTTTTTTTCGCAGACCACCAAGTTCTCTCTCTAGCGTTTTCTCCTTCTAATGGATCCTTTCTCGTCGCTTTCCACTGTGTAAGCCAATTCCTTGCCTGCAACCCACCAACTCTTCCCTGTGTTGCCTGGAAACCACACTGGAGAGTAATTATTTGGTGATCAAATTACTGAGAAGATAACCCCTTTGAGAGTTTCAAAACTGCTTGTGGCGTATTCAAAATAGCTTATCTGAAGTCCAAAACTGCCTATCTGGTGGTTTTGTTCTCAAATTGTTGCCTTGTGGCTTTCATGGCGACGTTACTTTGTGGTTTTTTGTCAAAACATTACGTTGAAATTCTGGGAACCCATAAAAACATTGAAAATTTGTTGCTTTTTCTCCAATTGAAAATTTGATACTCTCTTCCTTTCTTCAGTGGAAAAACCACCTTATATTTTCGGACCTGGAGCTTTTTGAGGGCCAAAACCACTTTTAAAAAGAGGAGGATCGGGTGAGAAAGCATCAGTGAGAGAGGGGAAAGTGACAAAGCATTAGAGATAGAGAGAGAGTCGGTGATGGTTTCTGTGGCTCAACCATCCCTGCAGCTGTTATGCACCTGCTGAGTGTAGGTTAGTGCTAGTTTCTGATTTATTTTAAATTTTCATATTTTTTTCAATTTTTGCAGGAAATGGGTAAACTTGGGAAGAAGGCGAGGAAGTTTGCCAAAAAGAATCTTCAGTCTGTGTTGAGGAATAGACGTAAAAACAAGGCTCTGAGAGAGTCATTTAAAAGGAAGAAAGGCAATCGTCAAGCTGGTACAGGTTTCTGTTATTTTTATTCCTTAGTTACATACATAGCTTGTTATTTTGGTGATTTTCTTTTTATATATTAAGCCTTTGTATTTTAGGGTATACGTGCTTCTTTTTTGACATAACTGTCTTTGTTATAAGTTTTGCTACTAATACTATATTAGATGATAGGACTAATCCGAATGTAGCAGTTAGGGAAGTAAAGATGCTTCTAGTTCTTTGATTTCAAACTCATTTCTTAGTTAAGAGTATGAGCTAGTCACAAAGAGTAAATTGAATATCTGCTTCCATTTAGGTAGCAAGTTACCACTTATAAGAAAAAGAGATAACAACTTGCAGTGTTCTATCATGTGGAAACTGTCACTGCTTGGATGCATTTCTTTTGCCTTTGATGCCTGGATGTTATGTTACAAATAATTGCAAATATTTATTTTTCACTGTTTAATTTGGCACTTCTCGACCTTTCTTCTGCATTAATCTTATTTGTGAAAAAAAGATAGTGTTTGTGCATTGATTGACACTTTGTGTCACTTGATGGAAGCTGGAATGCTCTTTATGTCAAAGAAAGAGAAATACGGGACTAGTATGTTCTAGATGGAATTACTTTGATGTGGCCCTTACGCTTAACTTTTTCATTTATGATCAATGGTTTCTTGAATGTCTAGATGTGTAATAATATGTTATATGGATTTTGAACTTGTTGGAATTAAGAGTCTTGAACTTTAACAGTGTCATTCTAAATTGAACTCGGTGACTGAACATAGTTGTTGATTTTTGTTGTAACTATAGGAGAAAATAGACCTTCGCCAGACCAAGCTACTACAACATCAGACCAGAATCTTGAAGGGTAAGAAAGTAAACTCTTCTCTGACAAACATTGTGATTATGTTCGTCTGAATTTCTTATATTTAGGCAGTGTCATGTTGTCATTATTCAAATTGCTTTGTGTATGATACTGGTGACATGCATAGCAATGTGAGATAGCTAGAAACACATTGCAAGTAACTTATTTTGACTTTGTATGAGTTTTAATTATTTACAATTATTTCTCTGAATTTGTAGCCATGTACTTATTTATAGAATGTTCACTTCTGTTCATTTATACATTTTAGAAGTTAAAATGTAAGAGAAACTGCACTAACTTTCTATGGAAGCTTTAGCAATTAATATAGAAAGTGCTGTTAAAATGGTATCCAAAAATTATACTCTTCAACATCAATAAATTATGCTGCTCTACCATTTAGGTTCATCAAGTGCATATTTTATGTGGTTTGCGTCAAGATCCTTATTTCACTTTTTCTATTTGCTTTGTGGGGCTCATTTTTTTGCTTTTTTTGAACAATGTGTGTGCATATGGTGCAATGATGATGATGTTGTGTGCATATGGTGCAATGAGCCAGTACTTCTGTTAAGGTAAAATATACTGGAATGCCAAGGACTACGGAGAAACCATGTTTCTTGGGGTTATCACTGTCCAGTGAAATAATGGGTAGTAATGGAACCAGAGTGGAACTCACCAGGACAAGACAGGACCCAATGGTGGGCTTTACTCTATGTCCTTCATCATCCATTATCTCGGTGATGATGATGACGACCCTATGGACTACAGATTTTTCCTAGTCCTGTCTCCTGAGAATTGTAATATGCTTTTCCTTCTGTTGATAAGCTTTAGCAAAAGATGCCTAAATTATAATTTCCTCCTGAATAAGTATTTTTCCATCCAAAAAGTATTGTTTCACTGTGTTAACTATTGTTTTCAGGAATATTGAAGGCAATATTTTAGATGGCGGTGTCTATGATATTTTTGTAGATAATTCAGGCAGTGAAGATGACCACCATTTGGAAGATGAGGATTCAGAAAGTGATGGTTTCCTCTCAGAGGTTTGGTAGACGGCTTTGTTAAATTAATATATAGTTTATAATTGATGATCTCTATGCAGCATATGAGTGAATGGAAATAACCTTCTTAAGTACTGTTCAGGATTTGAGCTGCCCATATGTATCTGAAGATGAAATGGAAGATGAATTAGAAGGTTGGTGTATTTATAAGTGTTTTTGGGACTTTGGGATTCCTTAAGCTTTGGAAAAAAAAATTTCAAGAATTCTTTTTTTTCTTCAAGGTTCACTGTAATGAGTCGTTCTGGACATATTTTTATTGTTATTGAATTTATTACAGATGAGAATAGCTCTAGTGCTTTATTGGGGCAAAACAGGACTCTTCGTATGGAAATTGCCAAGCAAACGTGCATACTGGAGAGATTAAAGGAAAAGGTACTGGCTAGTTTGGCTCCTTGCATATGCAAACGCAGGTTTTAATTCATATCCTGAGTATGCAAATCATAGGACATGTGAATCCTGGATATTGGAACAAAGTTGTCTGGATATCTTCTGGGAGAACCCAGGATGTGCAAATCCCCCGTTAGAATTATCTGTTTATAGAGACTGCACTTGCTATTTCTTTATATTTTCAGGTTAAAAAAGGTCTCCTATTATTTATTGTTCAGATGAAATTCGAGACTGTTCATAATGTTACTCTAAACCTTAAATATATAGGCTTTTCATTGGTGCATTCTCTCAATTTGAAATTATCTTAGACACACATAACTTTCAGGATAGAGGCCTGGCCAACAATGCCAAGCTGCACTCTGCCCTCAACAATCCCCAAAGTCTCTCACTTGTCTCCCTCTCTCCCTTGAGATCTCTCACCTATATCCCTCTAGCCGAAAAATTATATCCTTCCGAAGGAGCATATATAAAATTATATGGTCCCTCAACAATTGCTGTCTATAGAGGTTAGCTTTATGTTATCCCTACACACAACAACAAAAAAATTATCCTTATCTCTCTCTCTGTTCTCAACCTATCTCTGTCCTTATATCCTTCGCCCCATCTTTCTCTCTCTCCCAACTACAAAACCCTCTTTCTCTATCTGGGTTGATGGGTCTGCCGATGATCCATCGAGTATGAAGAAAAGCCATTATTAAAAGTTAAAGTATAGCTCTTGCAAGTTTTTCCCATGGAGAAGAGCGACCTTTATCCTAAAAGTTTTGTCCAAAAATCATTGTGCTGTCCCCAGCCCTTGCCAGTTGGCAATTGCAGAATTAGGGAACAAATGACTTGCAGAGATAGGGCTCAGAGGAACCTAGGGCACGAGGGCCTGGCCTTCAGGGTTAATCTCTTCTCAAAACCTTCTGCTACTGAAACGAGCTCTATTACTCGAGCCTTACTCAATCAAGAATAGGAAGAAGAGTCACTGTGTTTTTGTGGCTTTGCCTCTTGATCCGGTGAGTTCAGATGGGAAAATGGCGATGGAGTGCCCATGAAGGTTTGGTGGGGATAGATGGTCTGGGGGTTTACGACTGGAGAGGTCAAAAAGAGGTTATGGGTTGAACGTCAAGGTCATTGAAAGCGACATGTATAATACATGGAGTGCAAAATGGAGGAAAAAATTCGGAGGATTGAATGACAGCTTTTGGGTGAAAGGGAAAGATGGTGGTGGCACTCTGATAATAGAGAGAGAGAGAGAGTGAGGAAAGAGAAAACGAGTATAGAGAAAAACATAAATGGGGAGAGAGGGAAGCAATCAACGGGTTATGTGCGGCCCAATGCAAAAGCATGTGTTTGCAAACTCATGTTTTAAGGAAAAAGTTTATATACGGTTGCTACCTTAAAATGTAGAAATACAGATGCACCTCAAAAATCCATCAAAAAAGGTTGTTTTAATGTTGAAAATCCCTCTAATTGATCATCTCGACAACGAGATGTATGAATATGAAAAAAAAAAAGATTATGAGCCCTAGAAATAGTGCATCTTGCAACACATTATCAAGACCGTCTGTTTTCAAGAGTTTCATATGTTCATAGATCTACTTGTTTTTAACCATTTTTGGAGTTTAAAATTTTATAATTAGATATGAAAATCAATTTTGAGATAATCCTAAGAATTTTTTACACCAAAATTACATGTTATGATAAAATTTGGAGGTGCACCTTAATTGGATTGTTTAAGGTTGCAACCTTATAGAAACCACAAATTTAAGTAATCCTTTTTCTTTCTTTTTTTGGATTTAGTTAGCCCGCATTATGAAGGGTTCTGTGGATATTAATAACTTTCATATGGGTCTCAAAAAATATGTCAAATGCGATTTCCCATCCCATATCCTGTATAAACCTGGCTTTGCATATCTTAGGATCCCAATGGGGCATAAAAATGCTTTTTCAGGTGGTCAGATGTTAGCTTAAGAGAAATGTTCTATTAAGTTAATGTTTGTCTTTGGGCCTTATTGTACTTAGTTGATGGACAAGATTGGAAAAATGTGCAACTCAAATTATTTTGGACATGAGTCTCTTATTCTACTCATAGATTTGTAAGAAAATTCCAATCATCATCATTCTTTGACAACATGTATCAACTTAGGTCTTATTTGTTTTGGGCTGCATTTTAAGATTGGTATGGTTAATGATCAAGATTGAAGTTGGAAAAACACATATGCAAATGCTGCAACTTTCTTTAATCTTTTTATGGAATAAAACATTGTCTAGAAAATAATAGAGGGATTAAATCCCTCGTTCATGGTCAAAATTTTTTTTTCATACGAACTCTGGCCTTCTGGCAATGAAAGCAATGTTGAAATAGTTTTAATGGAGGATTATCATATTTTGCTTAGATTTCAAGATGACATTGAGTCAAGGGAGATAAGGATGTGCATATGCAACTTTCTTTAATCTTTTTATGGAATAAAACATTATCTAGAAAATAATAGAGGGATTAAATCCCTCGTTCATGGTCAAGAATTTTTTTTCATTCGAACTTCTGGCCTTCTGGCAATGAAAGCAATGTTGGAATGGTTTTAATGGAGGATTATCATATTTTGCTTAGATTTCAAGATGAAATTGAGTCAAGGGAGGTAAGGATATATAACTTACATATTATTTGTTGGAAATTGGGACCAGTGGGTTGGAAGTGTTATTGATACATAAAGCTATTGTATTTGATGCCCTTTTATGTTGGGTTTCCCTCTTTATTTTGCTTCAAAAATTTACCCAGTATCATCTCACAATTACCTCCATTTTCATATTGGAAGGTTGGTCCTTCAGTGCTTTGTGGGTAACCTATGGCATGCTATGGGAAAAATTACCTTTTCTGCTGAATATTCACCTAATATTCGTGACATGTTCCCATGTACATGTCTATTCAGGAACTTGTAATGTGCTCTTCTTGTGAAGTGGTCTATTTGAAACTGTACCATATTTCATTTTCATCAAATATCCCCACTTCAGTCTTGCTTTATTTTCCTGTCCAATAGTACTTTTTCTTTTTGTTTTTATGAATAATTAATATCATTAAAGCAAGCAATTATTTCTGCCCCATATCACAGACATAATATAGAATCTATTTTCCATTTGTCAATTAAAACCTGCACTATAGTTGGCTTTTCATTTTTTCAGGATCCTGAGTTCTCAATATTTTTGGAAAGTCGCCATGAGGAGCGTCAGCAATCCAATGAAGAAAATGTAAGCCCCATGACCATATTTCTCAACTTATATAGCAAGAATGGGCACTGAATCAAGCGTCTGATTATTTCTTCTATGAAGTGTGATTCATCATAATCAATACGTAATCTGCCATGGTATTTCTTGGGTGCGATTCTCCTTAGTTCTATGATTCTAAACATATTGAAGAATGATTTAGGCATTGCTTGATTTCCGGGCCAAATTGCATTTTGAGCCAAATAGGAATTTTGTCACCTGCAATTTAACCACAAGGAGTGTTTTATTTAAACTCTTAGTGGATTTTCAATTGCAATTATGCTCCCAAATTGAATTATTTGCAAAACTATTGTTTATTTTGCAATACTTTCAATCCCTCTCTCTCTCTCTCTCTCTCTCTCTGCCCCAACCTACCACCACCCTTTTATGACCACTGTCACTACCATTGCAGCACTACCACAACCACTTCACCACTGCACTGCTTATCCATCACTAATTCACCACAATAAACGTCACGGCCACCACTCTCCTCCATGGCCATCACCACCACACCACCCTACCTCCACCACCACTCCTCTTCCATCCCACCATCACATCACCTCCACCACTACTACCACTACCACCGCTATCACATGCTGCCACCACCGCCGCAGTACTACACAACAGCTGTTACTGCACCCACTCCACCAATACCACCTCCACCATCTCACTATTGCGACTGCCACTATCATCACCTCTCGGCATCACCTCACCATCACACTGCACAACAACAAATTGCAATTCAAACTAAAACAATCAGACACCCCTGAGAGAAAATGATAATTGACCAAATTGCCCTGTTGTCAATTAAAATTTGAAAAAAGAAAACTCCATTGGGTGAAATCTGCAGTCAAATGGTGCCTTAGTGGTGGTGTTCTATATAATAAAGTGTAAATTCTGAACCTCGTTCGGCGTTTCATGTAGGCATGGAGTTTTGGATTAGGCTCAATAAGATAGAGAAAGACGACTAATAGACACATATTGATATAGTTTTAAATGCTAAGTATGTCTATATTCATATGCATGTAATAATGCTGATAATGTCGTATGCACTGCATCAGTCACTTATTGCTGATAATTATTTGCTAGCTTTTCATCTTTGTCAGGCGCCAAGTTCTCAGCTTTAAACCCTATTTATGATTTCTTATACATTTTCTATGACAGTTTTCTTCTGGAGAAGATGATGTTAATGACAATGATGGGAACATTGCAGTAGAAAACCCAAGATCACAGCATTACAAGGTTCTCACATCTTCTACGATAGATGCCTGGTGCCAGTCAGTTATGGAACAAAAATTTTCAGTTCTTCCAAACCTCTTGAATGGATTTCAAGCTGCCTGCCATTATGGAGATAATGACCAAGATGTCCTTCGCTACAATGTAATTCAAAGCAGAGGCTGCTTCTACAAGATTTTGATATTTATGCTCAAGGAGGGTGATGGTATCCTCCGAAGATTGTTGGGTATATCCAGTGGTTGCAAAAGGCAAATCATAGTGGATATGAGGAATGTGTCTAAATGGAAAGAAGTAAAACCACTGATAAAATCTTATTTGAGGAGCACCTTGTATCTTCTGGATCAGATGACAGATAACCTGATATTGGCATTCACTCTTTCCCGGCTTAGAGCATCGCTTGTTTTCTTTGCGGCTTTTCCAAAATTGCTGAGGAGATTAATTAAGGTGCTTACCTTGTATTCTGTTTCCCATGCTTTTGTTGTCAAAAATGTCCTTTTTTATTCACCCTGAAAAAGGTCATTTTTTTCTCTTTTATTGGGAACAAATGATGGTTCATTTGTAAGGGTACATGAATATGAGCCTGCCACATTCTTCCCTGTGAGAAGTTTATGCTCAATTTTTTAAAATAACTCTGGTGTCCCTAAGGTTTTTCTTGTGATATAGAATATTTATGATTCTGAGTCTTGTTTTTGTCACTGTGAGGGTAAATTTCTTGTTTCTCACTCGCAAGGAATTGAAATTGTTTTTAATCTTTTCCAAACAATAAAGTTTTTCTGGAGTATTAAACAGAACAGTCATAGGCATGGTTGTACAGCAGGTTTATTTACGTTGGATGAAACTCTTTGAAAATGCAAGCAGGTTGCACTTCACTTTTGGGGAACTGGAGAAGGGGAATTATCTTTGGTCTCATTCTCCATCATCAGAGACATGGCCATTCACATGAGCCCAGACTGCCTTGAGTATTGCTTGAAGAAAGCATACAAAGCTTTTGCTTCTAACTGCAAGATTGTTGAACTTGCAAACCTTGATCACATCAAATATCTCTCAGATTCCGTTGTTGAATTGTTTTCATTAGATTTGGAGAAGTCCTATCAGCACGTGCTCCTTTCTTTGAAGCAATTGGCCATGGTTGTTCAGCAAGCTCTTAAAACAATGAAAAAGGTAATAATTTCAGTGCTCAAAAGGTAATCTCAGTTCAATGGACTATGGAAAAACATTGTCCATTGGTTCATCACTGTCTGTTGAAATGGACGTCTATGGAGAGAGAACTGGATTGCCCATTGGAATCATGTTGTTTTCTGATGGCTTCTGCTTTCCCCATTCCCCCTTATTTCATGGGCAGTTATGACCCAATGGAATTCGTTTTCTAGATATTTCTTTGCTTTGTTGTTTACTTCCCTTTGGTATTTATTACTCACAACATAAACCATGGCAGATTTCACCTGAACCTATGAGGGTTGTAGCTGTATACATCCATATGCTACTCCTAATAGCTTGGCTTTTGGTCAAAATCAACGAAAATTTTTTCAAATCGTTCCTTGAAGTTGTTCTAAATTTAAAACTGATTTTGGCAAGAAATATTGTCAATGATTACCTCTCAATTGAATCCAAAACCAAACCTCTGGTTTTTCTTTGTAGTAATCATAGTTACCAGAATCTTGCAACCAGGTGGCAATTTGACTTCAGAATCTCGCCTCGGTTCTTCGGTCCACAAATCTTAATAGGTGCACCAAACCATGATCAATCAAACATGGAATCTCGCTCCCATTTTTTGAAAATATCAATCTGAGTTATTTGGGATCCAAACGTGAATTCCCTTGTGGACCATGTTAATGCGCTTTAACAAGTGTTGGGTTCAAGATAAACTTTTACTAGTGGTGGAATGGCTAAAAAACTACTTTGGAATGCTTGGAATTTTTTAGATATTATGGAATGATTGCAAAAATGTTATGGAATGCTTGAAATTTTTTAAACATTATGGAACCCTCTATTTTTTATTTTTTTTTATTAATTAATGTATAAATTGTACTTCTTTATTCAACAAGGATGGGTGTCTAGAACGCCACATAACATCAGGATGGGTGACTCTACTATCATTCCTTAAGTCCGGAACTTAAAATAAGTCTTTTTATTCATTATTAAAAAATCAATTAATCTTGCTTTATTTATTCAATCTAGAAACTTCAGTCAACCTCAACTGTAGTACTTAGGGAACTCTAGTTGATGGCACTTGACCTTGATTCCAATACTTCTGGGGAATTATGATTAAGGGCATTTGATATGTCAATTCCGATGCCAGGGGAACCTTTGCTTAGGGTAGGCGAGAACCTCGAATCGAATACTAAGGGAACCCTGGCTAAACATACTCAAAATATCGACTCCAACATTAAGGGATTCTTGATTAAGGATCCTCTAGAACCTCAAACCTTTTTCCTTATGGAACTCATTTATTGATAATTGCATGCACAGTTCCAAGTAGTTGGGAGCACATTTCTCGAAAGGTGGGAATCTCGATTCTGAGATATGCATTGTACGGATGGTGCTTCCTACCATAGCATGCTTCTAGCATCTCATGATTCCCTGCTTCCGATTCCCAAATGCTCCTGAAATGATCTTGCTTCTAACAACTATGGCTGTAATTACTTTCTTAAATTTAAAATATTTGGGTTTGAACCCATAGCTCAACTGAAAGGTTAACTCAACTGAAAGGTTATTTTGCGTTATGACATGTGGGCTCAAACTTTAGTATTAATAGAAGCATTTCAAACAATGTATTATTTCCAGCACAAAGTTTAACTTGTAATTTGACATTTTCATTTTGGTTCCAAACATAGCCTGTGGACTGACTTCTTCTTTAATCTTTGTGTGCAGGAAATACTTAAGAAAATCCACACTTGGCAGTTCATTAAGTGTGTTGAACTCTGGGCAAAACTTATTTGTGAAAACATCAAAGACCATGATCTGCAACCTTTGCTGTACGTAATTGTTCAGATGATAACTGGGGTGGTTCACCTGTTCCCTGGAGTTCGCTACTTCCCATTGAGACTAAAATGCATACAATTGCTGAATAAGATTTCAATTTCTAGCAAGGTTTTCATTCCCACAGCTTCTTTCATACTTGAATTTCTGGAGAGCGAAGAAATGAGCACAGCAAAGATGCCTTGTGGAGAAGTCTTTGACTCCTCATCTGTCTTGAAGGTTTGAGATAGAATATGCTATCCTCATAACTTCTCCTGTATTAGTTAGTATGGCCCATATTAGGCACAGTTAATTAACTTACCAAGAAACCACACGCCTACACTCACAAATACATGTGTGTGTATACAGATGTGTGTGTGTGTGTGTGTGTGTGTGTGGTATTTTTTATGTGAAGATTATGCATCATGTGGTTATTATTTGCTTCTTTTGGAGATATGCTTTCGCCCTTTGATCCTAGTCAGATTTTGAAATTAACACTTCTTTCTTCTGTGCTGTTTTTAGAATTATTTAGGCCATTGTTTTCTGAAATTACTGAAATACCATTGATCTTTTCTAAATAAATTATATCAGATTCTATTGGATGACCAACGTTTTAGGTGTGACCAAAGTTAATGATTATTTATTGTATGGAAGATTCCTTTTATATGTATTTCAAGATAAACTGAGTCTTTTCCTTTGCCTGCAAATTAGTTTTATATGATGTGTTTGTCAGCCCTATGTGTTGTTTACTTGACATTGTTGTTTTTGTTATGTATGCCTTAGCAAGTGCGTATCTTGCAGGTACCAAAGCATCTGATCAAATCACAAGAGGTCCAGGAAGAATGTGTTCTCTCTGCAATTGAATATCTTTCTGAGCTGTTTCATCAGTGGAGCTATCACATATCATTTCCTGAGCTGGCTTCAATTCCTCTTAATCGATTAAGGAAATTCCATGATGAAACTAGTGATAAGAGTTTCAGGCGTGTGGTGAAGCAGTTCATTGATCACGTATATATTTCTTTATTCTATTTTATTTTAGTGGTTTACTTGCTCAAATAAAATCAGCTTTATAACTGAAAGTGAAGTTACTGAAAGTTTCATAAATTATTATAATGGGTACCATTTAATGTTGCAGGTCGATCGCAATGTTGAATTTATTCAGAAAAAGAGAGATGAGGTTGCTTTTTCACCAAAGGACCATGGAGCAATTGACTCATTTCTTCAGGTTTGTTTTTTGTTTTTTATCCTTTTGAGATCCTACTAGCATTTGTTTTTTGCCTGGTCTGTTCTGAAGTTCTGGATTTTCACAGGTTGAGAGTAGTGGAACCAGTCCGACTAACCAAAAAATCGAAAAAGTTAACAGAACCAGTCTTACCAATCAAAAAGAAGAAAAGAAAAAAAGTGGTGGAACCAGTCCTTTCTCTCAGTATTATACCTCTGTTTTGCAAAAATCAATCTCTAGGAAGGCAGTGTTGCAGAACAAACTGAGGTGAGGCCCTGATTGTTTTCATTTAACAGGACATAGTTCCAAAGTTTATTTTTTATATTCCTACAGCTAAATAACCTTAAAAAAATAAAAAATAAAAAAATTAGGAAAAAAAAAAATCGACAATTTTTTGGGAGGGTAACAACTGTTTCAAGTTTCATTATGTTTTGAATCAGCTTGGGGTGGTGGTTTCTAAATTTTGATCTTCTCTTTAAACATAATCAAGTATTCATGCATTTATGTAGCAATAAATACTAAGTAGATATTTGTATTTTCTAAAAAATCCAAACTCTGTAAATTTTTTTCATTGTGAATTTTCTAGATTTTCTTCCGGTATGTCAGAAAAGATTCTGTTCCTGCTTCAAAAGGCAATGGATATTTGAGAGAAAAAACTTCTGAACTGGATCCATACACCTTTTGCCAATGCTTTAAAGTTTTGAACTTTTCCCACATCTGACTGTGCCAAGACACAGGAGTTTTATCATCAAAATTTTCGAACTGAGTTTTTAGACAAATTTTGGATTGTTTTGCAAAAGTACATACGAAGAAAAAATGATATTTCAGACTCACAAATCTTCTAAAGTGATTTGGGACTCACCTGATAATTTATAATACTAAGTCCAAACCTAACTCTTTCCCATGGCAGTGAGCTGATCAAAACAGATTCTCAGTTTTCCATGTGTTTTGGATGGTATTTAGAACATTTCATTGACGACAGTAGCTATTTTGTGTCACTTTTTATCTTCCATTCTTGATGGACGAATAGGTAATTGGTCACTTCAAAACAAAATTGATAGATATATTCATACGCATCAAATATTTCTCTCTCTTGATGACTTGAATAAAATTGTAGACAGCTTTCTGTTAAATGTAAAGCCTCATTTGGCTTGTTACTTATTAGCAAAGCATGCCCATTTAGTTCTTGGGTAAGTGTCTTATATGCAACATGTTTATGGGAAAGCCTTAACCACTGGCTTGTCTGCCATCTGGCGGAATTCCAGCTTATGGTCTTTTGCTGCTTTGTGTTAAATTGTTAATGGCCTTCTGATTTACTAATTAAAATTCTTTTTCCATTTGTCTCAGTTCTAAGCCTGAGCCATTGAATAACTCAGAGAGATCACTTGTTGATGTTTCCGGAGAAGCGCTCCTCAATTCTAAGGGAAAGTCGAATAAAAGCCAGTGGGTTGAAGGAGATGTCGCTAATGGTCGCCATGGGAAAACTTTGAAGAAAGAAAGAAAGAGGAGAAAGATTGGTGCCTGAGGACTCTAGTTGCTTTGTTGCATATCTCTCTCTCTCTCTCTCTCTCTCGCTCAATATCTATTTCAAACCACACGAGGTACTGATGTAAAGAGATTGAACGTGGGTTCTTTTTGGCTCTGAACCCACAAGAATTTTGTACTGTAGCTTAATTGATTTTATTCAAGTCTTGGTAAACTCTTTAAGAACCTCCAATGGATTAAGTCTGACATAAAGAATTGGGGTTGGATTGTTTCTCAAAAAAAAAAAGAAAAAAAAAAAGAGTTTGACTTAGATTGTCTAAGGTCAAAAATAAAACATATAACGTGTGGGAACCAAGTGTTCTGCCATATGATTTTAGTCGGTCTGGATCAAGTCTGGATCACCTAGTTTCATGATAAACTTGCTCACTCTACAGAACCCGGTGAGTCCATAAGAACTATATGATTATTATTTCCAATAAGGAACACAGATCGGTCTAGCCTGATTTGCGATTCGGATCAGCATTTCCCAATTTGGACTGTCATTTTTTATGCCGGCTGTCAACGTGTTGACAATTGCAAATGTTTCCGGGTTAAAGATAATTAAGATTAGAGGTCTCCTTGGCAATTGCAAATGTCCCCGCTTAAAGAAAATTAAGATTAGAAGGCTTATGTTTATGGATCTCTCTCTCTCTATCTCTAAAAGAGGAACACAAACGGGAAAAAAATAAGAGGGACTTCAATACAATTAGGCATCTTTATGGATTTGGAACAAGATCTCTCTCTCTCTCTGGACTTCGGGGGTATAAAATTTCAATTGTGACCTACTAATTGGCCGTGCCCCCAACATGGGCGCAAAAGGATGTGCAAGTTCTTGTATCTACGACGTCCAATGAAAATTGGTACTTATAATTTCTTCTTTTGAAAAAAAAACAAGGGAGAATAATTCATTGTCCAAAGAATTATTTATTAAATTAATTAGCACGGTGCGGACTGCAGAGAGAGTTTACCATGTATTATCAAAAAATATTTATTAAATTAATTATCATTTATCATAAAGATAAATTAATTTATTATTTCTCCCTTAATTATTTTTATTCAGATAAACTTTTAAGAAGAATCCCATTATAATTTATGATATGATAATACCAGAAAGTCCAGTATATTTTTTATTTTATGCTCGAGTCTGAACCATTATTTTGTAGTTGATGAAAGATTGATTCAACATTGGACGTGGGCACCAGTTTTTTTGTAGCCAAAAAATATACATTTTTTGCAAATATTAAAATTATAATGGGATTAGTAATTTTAAAACCCAAAGATTCACAAATTTGGATCATTCACCTAAATCAGGATGGACCAATACACGCCCAGTTCCAAGATTATATCCAATCCCAATCCGGTACACACCAAACACAAAACCAACTCCCATGCTCCCCTTCTCTCTTCCCCTTCTTTTTTATGGATTTTCTTTTTAAACCTATTTAGTGTTTTCTTAAGCTTCCAAAAAACCCCTATTTTAATTTTAATTTTTATTTTATTTTTAAACATTTCTCTAGATCACCTATTTGTGACCAATTCAGATTTGTCGATCCACCAATCTGACACAGATTTATGGGGTGAACGATTCATTCTACCAATCCTGGTATAAAAAAACAAATGGATTCTTCTATAAATTTTCCTTTTAAGTTAATATAGAATATGATTTTGATTTATAGACGATTAGAAAGTGTTAGGACATTAGATGAACACACGCTACTCTTCTTTTCGAGGGAACTACGACACAGATGAGATGATCAACAAAATCCTTGAGGAAAATAAGAGAAATGAGATGGATTACTTGAAGAGATGACTCACAATAAGCAAATGTAAAAAGCTTTACAAATAAGCATCCTTAGAATATGATTGCCAATTTTACAAATATCAAATTTATTACGATCTGGTCAATTTCAAAACTACAGGTACCTTGACATTTACCCAGTGACCACTAGGACTTTGTAAACAGGCATCTCTGATACATTCCAACTAGAAAAAACTAATTGAAAAAAAAAAAAACAACTAAATTCACCAGGGAAAGAGGAGTTATATTGGACATTCCATTAGACGGGGATGAGAGCCAAAAATTGACTTTCAAGACCTAGGCTTAGGCACCACAAGGATCCAACTAGGTGACAATCGAATCGGATCAACTGAGTGGATTTTGTATATGCAAACATATGAAGCAATGAAAATCTTATGAGAACCATGAACGCGCCTATTGGAGGACCTCACCGAGAGGACGATAAATTTTCACAGCTCCAAAAACGGGCAGTGCTACTCGGCTTTTAACATGTTTAAAATAGAAGGGAGAGGCATATGCTACAGACGAAGCATTACAAGCCATCCATGAGTCCCGTAAACACAACATTTACCTCTTGCTATGAATACCACAAATTACTAAAAAGTAGTTGCTCAAAGGTGAAAAGTTGGGGACAGAATTCTGAAGTCCAACCCTTACAAAACCACTAAAAAGAACTCAGAAACCATCCCCTTTCCAGGACAAAAGACATTAAAGAAGATTCAACAATTGCCAAGCAGAACTCTAGAATTTATCATTGCACCCAAATAATTAAAGCGATATAATTGCCTCTGCCACATTCACTTGGTGATAGCAAGAAAGTGAACACAATAAAAAGGAGAACCAATTGAATGATGCATTTAAAAATTATCTTTATTTTAGATAATTTATGGGAAAGATAAAAATGTTGTGATCATTTGATCAATCATCTGATGTGGTAAAAACTGACCTGGGTCAGGGTACCATATTCCCCATACCAAGGGAAAATCTGCTCTAAGTTCAATGTATGATATATATGCCGACTGATACATACATAATGAGTGGTGGAATTGGTAGTAGTTACCATTCTATTCAAACAATGATCTGCTCTCCGGCTCTTATCTGCAACCACGATTCTCAAGGTAAAAGATCAAATCATTATCAAGCTAAAAGATTGAAAGTAAAAGTGAATACAGTTTAAGCAAACATATTTCACTTCCTTTCCAACAAAACCTGCAAGCTTTTTTCATCTCTAGTTGGTAAGCACAGGGATTGAACCCAATACCCAGGTCACAACTCAGTGGTTCCCACACTCCACACCACACCTGTTTGGCAAATACATCTCAATCCACCATCAACTATGGTTTTGTGGTTAATTTATCCACCAACTTGATACTACTGTGGCCATCCATACTGCTACTGTGGCCATCCATACTGCTGATTCCTGTTACCACCAATCATATTTGGGCCTCGACCAGTTCCCGAAGAGCCATAAGGACCAGGTTGGGCATAGTTTGGAGCACCAACTCCATATCCACCTCCACCTCCACCTCCACCTCCACCTCCACCCCCACCCCTTGGACCCAAACCAGACATACCTGATGAAGCATAAGGAGCCCCACGTCCTTGAGGGGGATAGGGTCCACCATAACCGCCTCCTTGGCCTCCACGGTTAGGGTTGTACCCACTGCTAGGGTTCCCTCCCTGTGGGTACCTGCAAGGAATAACAGATGTTATGTGAAAGGTCAGCATCCAAGCAACTATCAAAACAGAATAGTTCAAACAAAAAGGGTAGGAAAAATAGAAGAAAAAGGCAACAAACACAAAAAGGAGAGCAAAAATGGAAACAAGATAAACAGGCTTTCTTAAAAAATATATGTATTGTTCTATTTGTTCAAAACAAGACAAAAAACGGACACTTTCTTTTTTCATTATCCCTTTTTTGCTGTCATATTCAGCTGTTCTATCCATAAAGAAAAAACAACCATCCAAAACTATTTTAACAAATGTACTTGTTATAATATACAATGTACGTAACAGATGATTACTACGATCGTTATACAACTTTAAAGAACATCATCTTAGATTTTAAAAAAAAGTAACGCCGTCATCGTGAACCAGTACCTGTTCTGACCGCCAGCCGGACCTCGAGGCTTGCCATAGTGGTGGCTGGGGCCTGCAACCACTTGGGGGGGGGCGTTGTGCATTGGTTGGTTAACACCCGGCCCACGGAGCTGAAGGTGGGGTTGACCGCCAGTCTGTTGAATTGGGGGTAGCCGAGCATGTTGCTGAGGGTGTTGCAACTTCTGCCTCTTTGCATTTTCTTCATGTTGCCGCTGTTGCTGCCGTTTCTTCTTTGTTTGGAACTCATGTGAGGATTCGTACTTGGGCAAACTGGACATAGAAACTGTAGTTAGATCAACTGAAACTTAAAAATGGAAAGTAAACTATTGAGTACAACATTTTTCGGCTATGGAGAGGTGACGTTCATTGGGATCATCACAATCCAATATTATTGGGCATTCAAGTATAGAAAAATCTTTGGTGGTTATGGAGAGATAGGGAAGCCACCCTTGGGGTCATTCTGGTAGGTCATATCCTCCAACATCATCCATCATTTTATTAAAAGGTAATACTCCAACATATTGGAGTTTTCCATAGTGTATTGGATTATAATTATGCTTTCCCGTTAGAATACCATATGGAAGAGAGTAGAAGAATGACAACAAACCTCTTAGGGTCACATGGTAAAGGGTCGTTCCAGAAATATTCAGCATCTAGAGCATCCTTTGCAGAAATTCTCTGCAAAGGAAAGTTATAAGAACAAAAAGAATAAATTTAGTAAACATGTATAAGAAAACATATAATCAATAAGCCTGAGTTTCCATCACCATCTCGAGTTCAACACATGATCTTGAAACAAAGTAGCTCCAACTATGTAATCAAGATGGAAGCTAATAGATATCCAAAGCTACGAATTAGTAATCAACTAGTTGGAAATGATATTACGACATACTTAAGAGCCCTCAAATGATTGAAACTACTAATGAATAAGAAAAATAAAAGGGATTTTGAAACGCAAAGAAGATCACGATTCAAGCAACTGATTAAAACTACTAACAAATAATACAATAACAGGAACTATGAAACGAAAATCATGGTTTGACTACTCGCACACATATCAAAATGCAAAAATATCATAGGATCAAGACTGATGTCCATAGAAATGTCTGATTTATGGAACTCATTTCTGTAGAATGCAGACCGATTTAAGTTATATTGCATTAAATATGGGTAACCAGCTGTCATCACTTTTAGATGCCAATGGGACATTTACAAAAGCAGTATTCACATGCAAATACTAATAATTAAGCTTACTAGCCCCTTCCCGCATTCCACAAAAAAACAAAAAAGTTTGAAGGGGTATACCTGAGATGGATCAAGAGTTAGCATTCTTTCCAGCAGCTCCAAAGCATGCCTGTCGAAACTGTCAAACAACAAACAAAATGACTAATCCAGCATGGTTACAAAATTTGGACTATCACAATAAATGGGATCCGACACTCAGATGCTACCATGTTCAGCATGCAAATAAAAACCATCTGATAATCAGGCATGTGATGTGAGATGAACTTACTGTTTAAAGACCTCTCTTACGCGCCTCTTCATTGCCCTTGGAGGCTTGAATTGATTATACCAGGGTATCTTGGAGACCCCTGGCCAGTTGACTTCATCAGGAGTTCCACAAAGCTCAAATATTTTAGTCAACTGCTCCAACTGCAATAAGCATAGCAAACAAAAATAGAAACAAGCATAAAATATCCACATAGAGAGTTCCAGAACAGGATAAATTTAGCAGAAACCAGGACTTTCCCTATCACCACTAACATACATTAATAATAAGCACAAGAGAAATATTCTAGATCAGCACATCTCCTACAAATAGCTTTGGCAACCAACATTCGTGGATTGGCTCTAGATCAAGCTTCTTTTTTTTTTTTTGATGCTGTTAATAACTGTTGCTCTAGATCAAGCTTTAGAAGGGACTGACAAGCGCACTATTGGAATTATTACCCATTAGGCCATTACCAGTTCAAGTGTTCATCATGTCGTTTTCTTGATTTTTAGTTGATAATTTTTTCCAACTTTTTTTTCAAATAAAAATGACAATGCATTGAAATAGTGTATTTCGGTGCATGAGATTGTAGTATTTCGGTAAAGTACCTAGCCCCTCTTTGCTCATTCTATCAGGTTATTGCAATCAGCCAATTAATTTCAAATTGTAAACAACAAACATACCAAAAAGAGCGTATTTTTTATATCTTGGGTTGATAATCTAGGAAAATGGAGAGATTGAAGAAGATATCGCACATAGAATTAGAGCTGGGAGGGCAACGTGCAGATGTACAACCGGAATTTTATGTGATCACCGCATACCAATGAAGCTGAAGGATAAGTTCTATAGAACAGTTGTGAGCCTAACTCTGCTTTATAGGGCGGGAATGTTGGGCATAAAAAAACAACATACCCATAGAATAAGTATAGCCGAGAAGAGGATGTTGAGATGGATGAGTAACAAGACAAGGGATAAAATTCGAAATGAATACATTCGAAAAAATTTTGGTGTGGCACCAATAGGCGATACGATGAGAGAGAGTAGAATTAGGTGGGTTGGCCATACGTCACACAAACCCAGTACAACACCTGCTAGGAGGTGCCTGTTAGTTCAAGTGTAAGGCTCAAAAAAAGCAAAAGGTAGGCCCAAAAAGACATGGTTGGAAGTAGTGAGAAAAAATATGGAGAATTATGGCCTCACTAAGAGTATGACCCTTAATAGAGTAGAATGACGGACCATGATTCATATAGCTGCCCCAATTAGTTGGGAAAAAAGGCTTTGATGATGAAAGAAGCAAACGTACCATACCCTATTTTTCTTTCCTCTCTTTTGTCATATGTACCTCCTCAAAAAAAAAACATATGTATTCTTTAGGCCAATCAGGAATATTTTAAAAATAATAACTCAGATTAGATGTTACAAACATGAAACCAGCATCAAAACATGGGGGATAACATATAACCAACAGATCATCATCACTATCCGAGCCTTATTGCAACTATTTGGGGTTGGCTAATGTATAACCAACAAATCATCATCACTATCTGAGCCTTATTGCAACTATTTGGGGTTGGCTAATGTATAACCAACAGATAAACCAACAAATATCAAAATTATTTTACGGAGCTACAAGAATGTATGGAAGGAGCAAGACAAAAAGTAGAGTTTTGAAAAAGACTATTGCGTAATATACTTCAAGGCAATCAAAGCAATGCCGCAAAGTCTATTCACCCACATCTCCTCCGCAATCAGTTTGCATATTATCCAAGGTATCATGAAAGCTTGTTTTGTTTTCCAACCTCGCTTTTTCCTGGCAAGATTGGTTTTCCATACAAGAGCTCCGCAAAAATGCAACCAACAGACCACATGTCCACAGCTGGACCATACTTTGTGGATCCCAGTAACAATTCTGGAGGCCTGCAAAACATTACTTACCAGAACTAATTACAAAGAAAAGCAGTGGGATCTAAAGAACTCTTAAGCAAAAACAAGATATAGAGTACATAGGGGAACTTATTTTTGTTGCAAAAACGATTCAGGTATAAAATTTCAAATTAAAATATTCATGATAACCAGATTATTATTGTTTTTACCTATACCACAATGTAATAACACGATTGGTGAGATTCCCATTGTGATCATTTGAAAAGGAACGTGCGAGGCCGAAATCTGCAAGCTTCAAATTACCCTCATTATCAATGAGTAGATTTGACCCTGCAAGCGGATTATATATTGGTGTCACGATCGGAAGGAAATTGCAAGAGCAGAATCCAACAAGAAATCTCGTGCACTAATAACCTTTAATATCCCGATGAAGTACTTGATTGACGTGGCAATAATGCAGACCCGTCAATAGCTGCCTCATGTAGCACTTGAAAACACCAACAAAAGCAGCACAATTACTCACTTATCAAGCAAATGGAAGTAAGATTTGCTTGTAACCGTTGCATCATTGGTTTATTCAAACCTTAATTTGAGGAACAGTGAACCTCATTCCTGGTCGATCAGAAAGACCAGTCAAGTCATGGTCCATGTATTCGAAAACCATGTAGATGCTACCTTTATACTTATTGCCGTCTGCTGGTTTTCGAGGAACATAAAATATGTCAGTGCCAAAAAATAATACCACTACCTAGTAAGAACTGCATATTAGACTTCAATACAAGACAAGACAATAAAATATTGAATCTATCAAAACAAACGTTTTTTTTAAATATGTTGACTTTCTATCAAAACACACGTTGCTGAAATATCAAGTATAGCAGGGCTTATCCTCAAGTATACTAGGACATATCTTCACAAACTATCATTGTGCAACATATAATTACCTGGTTTCCCATGCTCATCTTTCTCACGACCTGAAAAACAAGTGTTTGCAGCTCTCTATTAAAACCGTGGATAAACATTAACACATTAACGTTTCTTTTGAAAGTGATGAAAATAAAAATAGGAGTTGTTTAATTTTTTTATTTTATATTTCTTTTAATTTTAGGAATAGGAAGTGCACTGGGATAAGTAAGTTGGAGTGTGAGTTTTGTGGCGTAAGTTTTGGTAGGGGCCTCTGTTGTGGTTCAAGAAGAAGCTTATCTTTTAAGATAAGTAGAAATTATTTTTTATTATCTTTTGGATAGAGAGAATAGGAAGGACTATCTTAAAAGATATGTTCTAATCTTCAGAAAGTCAATCTTTTAGTTAGAAAGTCAATCTTTTGATAAATATGTAGTTAAAAAGGTTATTCTTTTAGGAAAGAAAGGAGTTTTAGAAGGAGAGATAAAAAGAGTTTTTATTTTTTTATTTTATTTATTCCAGTTACATTTAAAAGGGAGAAGTCCCTCATTGTAAAGAAGATATTGGAATTGGGTAAAGAGTTCATCTTATGAAAAGATCCTTTTGAGGTGGACGCCCTTGCAGACCTGAAGAGATGGTATATTCTCTCAACCCTTTGTATTTTATATTTTTATTTTTCTGGGTTATTATTTATCTCTGCATCAGAAGATAATACTATCACATAGTAAAGATACGAATGTACATATATATGTGCATGTGTGTCTGCATCTATGCATGCATGTAATAAAAGATAAAACATAAATTCCTATCAAACCTGGAGATGTCACAATTTCTTTTAACTGAATAACATTTTCATGATGCAGCTTCTTCAGAATTTTGATTTCACGTATGGCGGTGATCGGGAACTGCAATAATAGACACAACAAATAGTCAACATATTGCAGGGTAAATCATAAAGTTCAAAACAAAAAAAATTAACAAAGACAAAGACATAGGGCAAATATAAGCCCCACTTATCCTAAGCCAAACTACAGCTCAGCTTTTCAAAAAACAATGCAATAATCAATGTTAATAAACAAGAACTTACCCCTTCTCTTTCATTGTCCATTCGAATTTTCTTCAAGGCAACAATGTCCCCCGTTTTTACCTCCTTAGCCATGTATACTTGCCTACAGAAATAAGAGCATCATAAACAAATAGTGTAACTATCATCCAAAACCAATTAAAGGGAAATCGATAAATAAAAAAACAAAACAATGAGAAGTTGTACACAAACATTCCAGCTATACATTGTTTTGCTCCCTCTCCAAAAATTCAAGTGAAATGCTTTCATTGCAAAAGACTCAAAGGAACTACTCACTGGCCAAAACGCCAAATTGAAAAGCTTGTCTAACCCCTTGTGGACCAATCTATGCCAATGACATACCCACCACTAAAACTCCATGCCCATGAGCACAACCTCCATTTTCTGTCCGAGAAGCAAAATAGAGAAAGGGAGAGAGAGTATAGGAAGATAGAGAAGAGGATAAAATGGAGAGAGAGAGAGAGAGAATAGAATATAAAAGAGAGAGAGATGGAGAGAGGGAGAGAGGGAGAGAGAGAGAGAGAGACAGATAGATGGAGAACAGGGAAAGACACCTATTGATAATTGAAAGAGAGAAAATAATGGAGAGAGAGAGTGAAGAAGTTTTGTATTAGAGAGAAGTGAAGGATAAAGAATTATTAAAAAAAGTGAAAAGCAAAAAGAAACCTAAATCATAAAATATATGTCAATCTCCTTCCAAATGTGTTCTTAGCTTCTAATTACTTAAAAAAAGGGCCAACCAAATTTGTCCTCTTGAAAAGATTGCTTCAAATTAATAAAAACCTAAAAAAGGGCAAAAATCAGCAAATATCCAGTATTTCCCAAAATTTAGTTCGTTTTCATTTTTAAACTCCCAATATATCTTTTATCTACATCTATGCCATAGGACCCCTAACTAATCTGTCTCTCTCGATCTCTCCCTAACCCTCCCTTGAACCCAAACCCTCCCATCCTCATAAGTTTCCCTACAGACCCCTCCAACAGGGACCCCATCATTGTCTCTTTCACAGTAACCATCCATTACCCTACTGCCCCCCTCCCATCCCCTCTTTCATCTCTGAAACCCACCCCCTTGTTTTGGAGGACCTCATCTCTTGGGATCCACCATCTCTTTCTCCTGCTCCCTCTTTCCCCTTTCCTCTCCTTTTCTCCCCTCCCCCCTTACCCCCCAATGCCTACTTCCCTCTCCCTCGCACCAGTTCACTGTGACTTCTTTAATCCAACCCCTTTGCCCCCATCCCTGTTCTGCCCCCCAACTCCTCCTAATTCTCCCGTTGATAATCTTCTGGACCAATAGGGTTGAGATTGTCCTGACGTTACTGGAGAAGTCCCCCCTTTACAATTTCCTAGACGACGAAGCTGCAGTTTTTAGGCCCACGACTCGAGACAATCTCAGTCCATCAAAACCCATTCATACTCACATTTTTCATCCCATCTTTAACCCACTACTAATACTCAAAAATAAATCCCTACCATTATTGATGCAAAGAAGCTAGACCCACTTACCTGAAGCTCACGGTGCTCTAAAATCCACACATAGGTCACCTTCTTGCTCCTCGTGGCAGCCAACAACAGCAGCAACAACGGCAGCGGCAGTGAAGAGGTTTTCCCCTTGAGCGCTAAAGAGAGAAAGTTTGAGGAGAGAAAGTTTGAGGGGAAATAGAAGGGAATGCATACAGCGGTGGGGAAGGGCGTGACTTATAGGCGCATGGGTAGGTGAGATCTATTGTGGCTGACGTCGTGGGGTGGTTGGGGAAAATACTGTGGCTGTCGTCACTCGCGCGCTTCGTTCTTGATGCAGCCCCTTTCTTAGTAACCTCCTCCATCGGAAGAAGGATCCCCGGTGCCTCATAGTGTCCCTGGATTAGCTTTTTCCAACTCCTCCTCTGCCTCAGTCCCGTCGGTGGACTCCTCTTTTGTAGGCAGAATAGATCGTGCTCAAGGAAAGATTCATAATATTATGGACGTCATGGGCTTCCCCTACTCTGCACCTGACGGACCCTTCAACAAGTTCTTCAAGTCGAAAACCACAGGCTTCCCCTACTCTGGACCTGAAGAACCCTTCAACGAGTTCTTCAAGTCAAAAACCATGGGCTTCCCCTACTCTGGACCTGAAGGACCCTTCAACGAGTTCTTCAAGTCGAAAACCACAGCCAGATTAAAGATAAGTTGCAAAGGAAAATGGGAACTTGATAAGGTGGTCTGTAATATCAATTACGATCGTGCTGCTTCCCTACCTTTATCGCCACCTGCCTCTGACCCCATTCTCCAAGGGTCTCTGGTAAGAAGATCCCCTAGCATCTCCACCCTAATTCGCCTGCCCTGATGCTTATTCTCTCTTGGAATATCTGAGGGTTAGGCCTCCCTAATAAAAAACAGGCAGTGAGGGATTTCATTATGAAATGCAATCCCTCTATCCTTGCCCTCACTGAAACTAAAGTTGCCTGCACCCACCCTGCTTCAGTTTGGAACTATAGTAATGGTCACTTCTCAAACTTTACAAAAAAATTATACATAGATAACTTTCGGTTAACTTTATTCATTGATGAGGTAATATGTAGATCAAGTTGCACATGAAGTACAAGCAGAGTGAGAAATAGACATATTTAGGGGATAAGAGAGAAACTAAAAACTACAACAACTTGAGCAGTGCCATCCCTTTTGTTCCTTTCTTGGCCAATAGTTCTGCGACATTGTTATCCTCCCTGAGGACATGCACGGAAGATGTACCACATGAGCTGAAAAACTTGCTTTCCTCGAAATGATCCCCATTCTTCATGAACATCAGAACATGATCTGTCCCCACCATATGATCACATCAAAAAAATCCCCTTCCACGACTATAGGGCCCAAGTATCCTATATATAGGTCCTGTACAAAAATGAGCAATGTGAAGCTCTCAACCATCTAAAAAACACAAAAATCCGCTGGTTCCAAGAGAGTCATTATCACCTCCCACAAATAATCCCCAAGAATTCCCTCCATCCTCCGTAGACCTAAGATTATAATAGGGCTCCCGTCAAAGTTTAACTTAAGAGCATCCTCTCGTGAGGGCTCCCACACAACCCTCCAAATGACAAATGGTTAAACTCAGGAGTGAACTGACTTGCAATCTCTTGGAAGAACGTAGATGGTAAACCCCCTACATGCATTCACGGCAGATCCCACAATATGAACATCAAGTCATAATCCTCTCCAACCACTTCTAAGGTCGCCTTTTTTACACTAAAAAATACGATTATTAAAGTTTCCATACCATTTGGACACTAGGAGACAATATTGATGCCATTCACCACAAACTTGAAGGAAAAACTAACTCTATATTGTCCAAGGAAGGCCAGGTGTCTTCCTTTTAGATGCCCTTAAAAAATCAATAATGAAATTACTTAGGAAAATTTTAGAAAGAACAGTCTCGAATCGCCACTTTTATTGTCTAATCCATATTACCAATACTAAAGATGCCACAGAAGTCGCTCTTCTTACATTAGAGCACAACATGTGAACCAGTAACGCAAAACTACCTCAAGCCAAATATTATCAACTGATCAAGGGTTCAAGTGATAGAAAGTATTCGTCTAAGCAAATTTCTTATGCCAGCACTTAAGAATTCCAAAAACCAAATCTCAAAATGTGCCCACTGGACTCTAAAGCCAAACTACGCTTCAATCCCCAATCCAACTTCTCAATACCATCCTCAATATCATAATCATCGAACACTTAAATTACAAATGGACATTATCTTAAGAATGACTTCATCCTTCTTGACCCCCAATGAGCACACTGCTCACTCCCTAGCCGATGTAGTTTCTCAATAAATAGACTGAAACCATTCACTTATTCAAGTCCTAATTTTTCACCCTACCCAACACAGCATATGATATTTCCTTAGAATCCATGAGCTTATTCTAGAGCCTTCCTCCTACCATTTAAGTCCATAAATGTGTAGTGATTACCAAATATTCAAGCTCCCAAATCTCAAAAAATAGGTCATCCTCCAAAGCAGCAATGACAATTGTCTTTACAACATCCAACTATCAACACCTATAATCTACCCTACTGGGAGAATAACAACAAAAACATGCTAAGTACACAGTAATCGGGGCAGTTTAACCAGCCTCACAAACCCCCCACACCCATCTCAAAAGGAATTAAGACAACCTTGGGGTACGTTTTTTTGTCAAAAAACTCTTTCTAAAGAGTACATTTCCAGAAAGAGCCTTTCAGTCACATGGAAAGCGATTTCATACGTTAATAGGTATAAAGCCACTTCCTCATAAAAGTGCAAAGAGCATTGTTTTAAAGTGTGAATGTGCTTTCCCATGAGCTACAGTGTCTACAGATCTCCCATGGTAGTACAACAAGAACAAACTCTCTCAAAGAGTTAATTCCCATGAAACAAACGTGGCCTTACTGTAGTGAAGTTTCTAGTAGTTCACCTAAACTTCTTCAATCTTGTTGATGTTAGCCTCCAGATCCAAGCTCATCTTCCTCAAGCAGTACACCTCAACCTCTTATTGCTTGACTCGCACTCCAGCATCATGCCCCTATTCTTCTTTTCATCCACCTCCACGAGTGGCCCCCATAATATCCCCACATTGCTCCTTCCAACATTTCTTTTTAAACCACTTTTTTCCTCCCCTGCTATTATTAAAGCCTAACAATAGCTCGTAACTCATAAATGACTTATCGATAAAAAGGACATTGTCAGGTCAAGGTACAATAATACACATGCGGTGTATGACATGTAGCGTTATGTAATAGGTATGCAGTAATTGGATAAAGTAGATCTTGCTTTATATATATACAGGGCTTCATGTCCCATTCTCTATCACTATCAGATAAAGTCAAAACTCCCCTTTCCAGATCCTATTACATTAAGCATATCTATTAAACCTCGAATAAATCAACTCAGATGAATTATTTGCATATCCCTATAATAGTGATATGTTTGGTGCAAGCACGAAAAATCAACTATTAAACATATTTAATTTTGGTTCAATTCAGATATGGCATGTTTGGATCATGCACAGTATCAAACAAGATCATCATCATCATCACCATCATCATTATCATCATCATAATCATAATCATCATCCAAGTCATGTTTCAACTATTTGGCGTCAACTACACAATTCTTGTTCTGCCATTCCGGTCTATCATATCCTGTCAGACCAGGAGTCAGCATATCTCTTTTAACTACTTCCATCCATGTCCTTTTGAGCCTTCTACTTTTTAGAGCCTCACTTGAACCAAATTACTCATCCTAAACAGTGTTTTTCTAGGCAACGTTGCACATGGCCAGATCACCTAAGTGTACTTTCCTCATCTTATCGCCTATTAGAGTTACCCTTAAGTTCCCTCGGATGTATTCATTCCAAATTCTATCATTTCTCGTCTTGTCACTCATCCATCTCAATATTCTCATCTCAATTACATTCATTCTTGAATATGTTGTTTCTTGACTACCCAACATTTCATTCCATAAAGCATAATTGGTCTTATAATCATCTTATAGAACTTGCCTTTCAATTTCGTTAATATGTGATGATCACATAGGACTTCAGAAGCACATCTCCACTTCGTCCACCCAACTTCGATTCTATGCAAAGCATCTTTGTCAATCTTTCCATTCTCATGGACTATCGACCCAATATATTGAAACTACAGTCGTTTAGGTACTTTTTAGCCATCAATCTTAACTAATTCCTCGCTTCTACTCCTATTATTACTAAACTTGCATTCCATAAATTTTGTCTTAGTAAGGCTAATTTTAAAACATTTAGATTCTAGAGCATCACCCCAAAGTTCTAACTTTTTGTTGACTTCGTCTCCAATCTCATCAATCAAAGCTATTCTTTCGCAAATAACATACACCACAGGACCTCATCCTATAGATGTCTAGTTAACTCATACGAAAACATAGAAAATAGATATGAGCTCAGTATTGACCCCTAATGTAGGCCTCAATCTCTCTCGTGCACTTCCAAAATCTTTATTTGTATTACCATATAGATGTAAATCCTTTTCTATCTTCATTTTTCTCAAAGCTTCTTTCACTTCAGATATCCTAATGCTACAAATGTATCTATGACCTCTTACCGCATTTATGTCAAAGGTTCCTCCTGACATTGTGCTCCCAGAGTGGTCATCCTTTGACAATTTTTTAAAATAAACTCTCCTCCTTACATTGGTCTCGCATCCTTCACCAAGACCCTTTGATCCTCACTCTTAATGGAATTAACATGATCTTGATCCCTACACTTCCTCTCTCTCATTTTTTGCTAGTTGGAAAACATCGTTTCCACATTTTCTTGTTCCCAATTTATTTATTGTATAAATCATCATATGCCTTAAGCTTTCCCAATTTCCTACATATTCTTTTGATAGTATCAAACAATATGGCATGCAAAATTCAACTTTAGGAAAACGTGAGTAGCGTTCTTTACACCAATGGCTGATCATGGCCATTGGATCTATGCGACGATGAGCGCAAGGAGTTGTCCCCTATGAAGCTGCTTAGAGCCAAATCCATGGTCCCTACCTAAGTAACAGTGGAAGACTGACAAATTGAGCAAGTCTACAATCCAGACTTTCATTTTTCAATTAATTTGCTTTATAAGTGTGAAATCAAGCCGCGTACATTCCAAACTTCTCATCTGATTGCCCTACGCATCTGTTAAGATTTGCCATTGCTGCCACAACCACATTAAAACATGAATATCTGAATCCATCTGCATAAACCATATGGATTCATATAAACCACAATATACCCCAGAAGAAACAAAACGAAGGAGAAAGAAAGAAACATACACATTCTTTCCAGGGAATCAAAACATATGTATAAAAAAAATTAAAAACTGTTGAATACCACCATCCGCATTGCAGTATTGAAACATAACTCTAATGTCATTCATAATTAATGGTGGCTATGTCAACAACTGTGGCATCATATAAATTAGGGTAGAAACACATTCATGAATTTTCCGGCTGAAACTTATCAAGTTATGATCGTTTCTTGGGTATATCAAGCTCGTTTCCAAAATATTAAACTCTAATTTTCACTCTAGTTCGCATGATATAGAATCCAAATCATACACCGCATCAAACCCTGATTTACTAGTAAGAATCCCAGAAAACATAATATCAAGCTGAATAGTAGCAACATAAAGTACAGAGAGAGCGATAAATGAGAGATGCAGAGAATTAGGGTTCTACATACCCATAGGTTCCCTCTCCAATCTGTTCGAGCTTGTCAAAGCAATCAACACTTCGAGAACCCCATGATGGTGATTCATCGAGGTTCAGTTGGCCTGGTGCAGCCACGGCCATGGCTTCTCTGCTACAAATCAATTCAGGGAGCCCTAAAAACGAGTGAAGCCAACAACCAGAGTAAACCCTAGAGGAACAACGGAAAACCTCGAATATGAAAAACGCTAGAAAGAAACAAGAGCCTTATAACCAGAAAGAAATCGATAGAAGAAGGACAAACCCTAGGAATGGAGATCTGCCTTTGAGAACAGGGGGCGAAGTTTGGAGGAAAGCAGAGAATAAGTAGTCTTAAGAGCGTATTTTAATATCATTGCTTTATTTACCGGGCATCATTTCATTAAACACGGGTTTAAGGATGTTTTGGCGAACTAAACATCGATTGAGCTATGACTAACTTGAATTCAACCCTTTTCTCCCGATCTTTTTTATAACGTTCACGTACTCTAGCGGGAGCATACTATACAATTAGTCCATTGACAAAAGGCCTTGCGAGGACTTGAAACATGTCAATTTGGATCTATCTTACCATGAATTTTTTTTTGATAAAAAAAGGAAAAATCAAGCTCGTAAACAGTTCAATGGAAATGTTTAAAAATTGGGCAATGTTTAGTTTTAGGGTGCGGTTTGTGTAGAGCCTAGGCTTTAAACAATCCAATTAGAGCCTACCTTCAAATAGTATCAAGGAATGTGGTTTCGATACTGGAAATCGTTTTGATAGTCTTAAAATATATGTTCATATTTATTTATAAAGTTTAAAGCTTAAAAAATAGTGCAGATCAATGATATCTATGAAAACTTCAAAATCTTTAAAATTGACGGTCCAAAAATGTGTTACAAAATACACTATTTCCAAAACTTGAAATCAATTTTTTTCTCATGTCCATGCATCTTGATGTTAAGATGATCAATTTGAGGATATTTTAGCATCAAAACAACATCTTCTAGTGAAAGTTTTGAGGTAGGCTCGAATTCGATTCTTTAGAGCCTTGACTCTATATAAACTTTTACATTAGTTTTATCACATTATTTTTTAGCTGATACAAATTATCATTTTTTTTATTGATCCTAAAGTTCAAAAGGTTATAACTGTATTCATCCCACAAAAAAAATAGGAGAGAATGGTTTAAAAAGCGGATCGGTGGGCACCTCAAAAATCGATCCGGATCTACGAATCGGAGATCCGGATCTACGAATCGGAGATCCGAATCGGGAATCGGCTGAATCGGTCGAATTAAAGCTTTAAAAAAATCCAAAAAAAATATTAAAATTCATTATAAATGTTGTTTTTTAGGAATCCAATAAAAAATAAGGGTAC